GCACACCACCTACCTCCAGTCCCAGACCAAGGGCGCAGGCAAGGGTGAGACACCAGCACCTGCGCAGGAGGAGCCAGACGCCCCCCCCCCCCCAAGGTTGGTGATACTATACAACCCGAACTCCTGCCGCCAGGAATCCGAACGATGAGCTGGTTTCGGGAGTTGCGATTTGGATTCGGGACGGTTTGGACCTGAGGGTCCAGCCGTTGCAGATCCCCCCGGGTTTTGATCCTGCTCGTTGATCAGGGGTGATCCTTGGGCTTCCAGGGGCCCCAAAATGCGGTTTGTGCAGCGCTTGCTTTCAGGCTGCTGCGGGTCTCTCAGGGACCAATTTAAAATTGTTGGCCACGGTTGGCCAGCTCCAGGACGATTTCGCGAAACCCAGTGTAAGTTGCGGGAGATTTCAACCTGGCCCCATCCAGGCTGTTCCAGGCCGAATTTCTGTCCAGGTCTACCATGACAGTGCTGGCGCCGTCGACAGCCACCTACAGAACTAAGAAGACTAAATCGACACTAGACTTTTTTCCAATCAAGGCCTCGCGCCTTGGCTCCGAGACCCCCGTATTCTTGCCTCCTACCCCCTCTCCCCTCACCGACCTGTGCTGATGGATATTGTTGTCCGGGATACCTTTCGTATCCCCACGCTGCATGGGCCCCAAAAGCTGCCCGCGCGCAGTCCAGCGGGCCCGCAATTACCAGAAGTGAGTTGGCACCAGACTGCCGCGATAGCGAAATGCGCCTCGCAATTGATCGGTGCTGCGCAACGGCCTCTCTCAGATCAGCAGTCGTCGGTGATCCTGGACCACGCATACTTCGCCCTGGCCCAGGGCCTGGAAGCTACGATCAGTAGAAGGACCGACGCGCCCATCAAACCAAGTAAGTGCCCCAGGGCTCACCCCCCTCAGGTTCTCATGGTCCCCGCGGAGGCCAAGGCCGCTAGGAGTAGGGCTGAATGGGTGGCCTACACGGGCACATTAAGATGGCTGTGTAATCGAGTTCAGAACTTTAGAAGATGTATGCAGGACTGGAATTTGCCAGACTTCCAGGACGCCCTTGACAGCTTGGAGGATAGCCCCGAGTTGTTCTCCACCGCGGTGCCCCTCAAGGAGGGGCTTCAGGGTGTTCGGGTTGCAGCAGGTTTGCTTCTTGTTGATTTGCAGGCCGGCGCTTTGGACCAGGAGCTGGCGCCCCAAGTCCTGGGTGAGCTGCTGGAGCAAGTTACCAAGCTGCTTCAGCAGGAGCAGGCGGCGGAGAACGCTGCAGATGGGAGGGCCTGGAGGGATTGGGTTCAGTCATGTATGAAAGGGGGAATGGGCTGGGCTCACAGGTGGTCTGAAAAGCTGGAGGCCTGGCGCCCATCGGAGGTGCAAAACAAGTCTCAGCACACGGGCTGGCCCCAGAACATGTTGCAGGTTGAAGCTGATCGATTGGCTAAAATATGGCACGTTTCCTCGGACACCCCACCCCAACTTGTTCCCGATACTGATGATCGCGTTGCCCTTAGTCCGATTACCGGGAAAAGGTTACGACAAGTGGCCCGTAGATGTCCACGTTCTACAGCTTCTACCTGGGATGGCTTTCATCCGCGACATTTCAGTATGTTGAGTGACGAGCAGGCGGCGATCGTCTGCCAATTTACCGGTTTACTTGAGAAGGTCGGTCACGTGCCGACGCAGCTCCAGGGGGTCGTTTCTACTCTTATGATGAAGTTGAAACAGTACGACGATCCAGCCAGTCAGCCTTCTTTCAGGCCCATTGGCATGTTACCCGCGTTATATCGTGTTTGGGCTCGCCTGCGTAGGTCGGTGGCAAGATAGTGGGGAGCTCGCCATCGACGACCCTATCTAGCGCATCAGGCTGGCCACTCTATAGTTGAATTGGTATAAACAACATTTGGAATGTGAGTTCAACAGCTCCGCTAAAGACCAACAATATAGTGCGCAGGTCTTGTATGATCTATCTAACTACTACTAGCACGTTGATCGTCTGTGTCTAGCTCATCGTACTGTTGAATCCGGTTTCCCGTGTTGTTTACTTTGGAACATATTATCTCAATGCGCCAGTGAACGTATTATATCGTTGCAAGATTTTGCGATCAGCGTGGGCAAACCTTGGAGGGGCATTGCCGCGGGCTGCAGCTGGGCCACGTAGTTAATGCAAATGTATGTGCTAGCCCCTCTTGGTATATGGACACAAGCCCACAGCCACATTAGGCTCGCGAGGTTGATCGATGATCTGCTGCTCCAGTGCCACGGCCGCAGTTTCAGTCTCATCGCCAGCCAGCTTAACACAGCCGCCAGGTCCATGGCGGACTGTATCATCCACGAGTTTAAGTGCCAGATTGCCAGCAAGAAGAATCAGGTTCTCGCGTCCCATCAAGTTCTCCAGGACCAACTCCGGACTGCCTTGGGGCCTCTGGCAGGCCCGAGCAAGTGCCGTTCGGGATCCTACCTCGGGGTTGAAACTGGGGCTGAACGGCCCCAGAGGAGATGGAGAAAGCTTCGGAAGCTCACTGAGCGTCGCTGAAACGTGCTGGGGGTGACACCCACAAGCTGTATACGACTGGCCTTGAAGCGGCCACCACATTTGGAGTCGAGGTCGCTGGCATCAGCGGCGCCCAACTTGAGTCGGCCAGGTCGCAGTTTCTGGCCGCCGCGGGTCCAGGGTGCCCGACGTGCAGCCGCAGTCTGGCGCTGCTCATCCTCAAGGGCCTTCTGTGGAAAGCTGCGTTGGGTCCTGCCATTAATGCGGGATGACGATTAATAAACAAAATGGGAGAGGGCGATTAAAAATATAGTCTTCTGCTATTTCTGCATAAACGATTAAAAAGAATAATTTTCCAGCCCGCGGCCGGTTTTTTCTAATCGTCATCCCGGGCGCCGCCGCGTGAACACGACCCCCGGTCATTTATTAATCGTCATCCTCCATTATGTAGCACCGTCTCGTTTGGGATGCGTCCACCCGCCCTCACCTCGCCGCGGCCAGTTTCCAGCAGCTGCGTTTGTGGGCGGATGCCATCTCCCCCCGAAGAGTTTCAAGATCTCGGGGTTCCTTGAGGGGCCCTCTTAGTGCGGCCGTGCTTTCCCTGAAGCGAATTGGTATGGGAATTCCAGGGACCGCTCACGTTTGCGACATCCTCAGGCCTTGAGTATCCTCTTCAGGACACTCCCCCGCCTACCTCCAAAAGCTCATGGGGCACGATTGGCACGGCCAGCTCGCCATGAAGGCGGCCGTGAAGCTCGGCCACCCGAGCGCTCAGTTAGATGTTGCTGCTGCTCGTAGCGCTCTATCTTCGGACCCCCCTGGTCACCAGAAGGGTACGCTCATCGCCTTCCGCACCCAGGGTATATGGACGATGGAGAGAGCCAAAGCAGCAGGATATGATGTCCCAGTTGATTGCGAGTGTGGCCATCCCTCGGACAATCTCGGCCACAGACTGTTACACTGCCCGAAGACGGAAACACTTAGAGCCACTCACTTCTTGGATGCGGAGCTTCTGCGTTTCAGAGAGCACCCGCCCCAGGCCCCGCCCCATCCACCTTGGGTTCCAGCTGGTCCCCGAGTTCCGAGGAGAGCCTCCGCCAGGCACTGGGTTTGAATTCGGGGACTTTGGGTGTGCTCAAACTGGGCTCAGCCCTCAAGAGGCCTTCAGCGAAGGGGAAATGCTTGTGGACGGTAGTAATACAAACTACGGCCACTATGTGCTCAATGCCGCAAGCTTCGCGGTAGTCTGTATGCGTGACGGAGACATTTTTGCCAATTTCAGCGGCCGCGTTGGCCAGATGTTTCCCCAAGCCTCTGGAGCCGCGGAG